GTTCCAACTCCAAAGGAAAGAAGTCAAGGCTTAGTTTAAACTCTGAGTGGGAACCCCTGGACTTTCCCCATCGAGGCTACACCAAGCTGGGTGTGTGCTAGGGGGGTTGAGACGGTCTCACCTCAAGTACCCCAGGGGTTCCCAGGAAGAAGTGACCATACAGAGGTTCAGGAAAGATTTGACCCAGAAAGGCTACTTTTGAGCTAGGCCTGGGAATGAGAAAGATTTCAACAGGTGGTGCTGGGGCCCTGAAACTCCAGGTAGTGGGAATGACATGAATAAAGTGAAGAAGTGGAAAACTTGTGACCTGTTCAGGAAACAAGTTAGAGCTTAGTACACACCTCAGGAAACAATAAGTAAAGGGACTGGACAGACAAATTGAGTCATGACAGAGGGAGATGGGACTTGAATGCTGAGGTTATTGGAGGGGGTAGAAAGGGGGAGGTATAAGAGTGATCACAAGCAGACTGAGCAGGTGTATCCGTAGAGAGAAGAACTGAGCCCAGAATTATCAAAGGTGAATGAGAAAGAGAAAGGAATAATGGGGGAGAAGGGGTGGTAGGCAGCCTCTAAGATGGCTGCAGTGATCCCCACCTCCTGGTACTCATGCCCTTGTGTAATCCCCTGCCTTTGAGTATAGCCTAGACCAGGGCCAGCTCACTCTCCCTCAGACTGTTGGAAGGCCGGACTGTGGGCCCTGGGATGAGTCAGCTGCTAAGCAGGACAGGCAGTGGTGGCAAAAACACCCAGTGGGCTGGATAAATGTCCTCGGCGGGCCACATGTGACCCGCAGGCTGTAGTTTGAGGACGCCTGGCCTAGACCCAGTGACCAGTTTCTAATGAGTAGAATATGGCAAAAGCAATGAGATGTCACTTTCAAGATCAGGTTCATGAAAGGCTATGACTTCCATCTTGCATTCTTTCTCCAAGCCCTGCTCTGGAAGAAGCAAGTTACCAAGCTGTGAGCAACCTGATGAAGAAACTGAGGGTAAGACATTGAAGTCTCTGGTCAATAGCCAGTGAGAACTTCAACCCTGCCAACAGCCTCATGAGTGAACTTGGACATGAGTTTTCTAAGATGTGCCAACAGCCACACAAATGAGCTTGGAAGCAAATCTGCTCCTAGTTGAGCCTTGAGATTCCCTGTCTGACCCCTTAACTGTATCTTGGTGAGAGACCCTGAGCCAGAGGCAGCCAGCTAAGCTTTACCTGGATTTGTGACCCACAGAAACTGGGATAAGTGGTTTTAAACCACTAAGTTTTGGGATAAATTGGTATGCAACAACAGATGATTGATAGACGGAGGATAGGGATAAGGAGGCCTGTGGACAGTGGCTGTGCTGTTTCCTAATGACTGCGGTCCCAGGTTCCAAGCTCTTGTGATGCCTGGCTCTCCTTCATTCTTCAAGTTCCAAGAGATTCCCATATCCCTTCTAATATATTCCCCTTAGGAGCTTCAGGTAATTGGAAGAGGTCCTATTCCTTAATACCAAAAAACCTGTGTATGCAATCAACTCCAGAACAGTACTGAGTCATTTCCTGAACTGAATTTACTGAAGTTCAAGTACACACACACACACACACACACACACACACACACACACAGAAATCGATCACCTGGTTGTTTATGAGGCTCAAGGTAACAGGAAAATAGGGCTCACTGAAGCCCTTCTCTTCATACTTCAGCACATCATTTAACAATCTTGCCAAGAATAGATCTAAAACATTATTTTATTTTAAATTACCAGTTAGTCCTTTGGTACTGAGCATTTCCTCCCAAAGTTCCTGGGTACTGATGTTGACCTGAAGCCAAAGAGGACCAGAGGCTATGTTACTGAGGGCACAGATGGAGAAACAATTTCAACTATTTGCTCTAGATCAGTGGTTCTCCACTTTCCTAATGCCATGGCCCTTTAATACAGTTCCTGTGGGTCACAACCCACAGTTCTGAGAACTGCTGCTCTAGATTTCTCCCCTCTTCTCTGAAATACTTACAAATACAGTTCAAGTTGTCCCCTCTCTCCAGTCCTCCCTTCTCCTTTCATCTCTTCCTGCTTCCCTCCCCATGAAAAGCCACTATCTTAAGAATGATGTGTACTATTCTCAGGTATCTAAAAAATAATTTTATATATTATTTGTCTACAAACAATTTTTTGTGTTCTTTATGTACATAAACAGTATTATATTTTCGCTCAATATCAGAAATAGTTGAGTTGAATTTATTGCCATTCTTTTCCTTTGTTTCCTTATCTACAAAGAGTTCTGGTTTCATTAGATATGAAATACAAGGAGAAATACATATACAGTATTCTACATAACTACAATACAATCATCAAAATCGGGGGGAAGAGACACTGATAATATTATTACCATTTAATCCTTAGACAACATTCAAGCTTTACCAGTTGTCCCAATAATGCCCTGAACAGCAAAGGAGCTAATCATAATCAGGTGCTAGATTTATTTGCCAAGGCTCTTTGTGAATATCTTTAGTCCAGAATAGTTCTTCAGTCTTTCTTTTATTTTTATAACCTTGACACTTTTAAAGACCACATGTCGGGCACTTTGTAGACTGTCCCTCAGTCCCTCGGCAGGGGCATGCCCGATGTTTCCTCCTAATTAGAGTCAGATTGTGCATCTTTGGATTGATGAAATCAGTTGGATTGGTTGGAATGTTACATTCCAGCAAGTGATAGGCAATGACCACCTACCCATTCACTGCCCATATTGTGATAATGATGTTCACTTTGATCAATGAATGGATTAAGGAGTCTGTCAAGCTCCTCCACTTTTCCTCTGTAATTATTTAGTTTTTGTGGGAAGCTACTTTGAAACTATATAAATTAAAAGACCATGAAAAACACCACTTGTTCTTTTTTTTTTCTTTTTTGAGAGAGTCTCACTCTGTTGCCCTGGGTAGAGTGCCTTGGAGTCATAGCTCACAGCAACCTCAAACTCTTGAGCTCGAGGGATTCTCTTGCCTCAGCCTCCCAAACAGATGGGATTACAAGTATCTGCCCAAATGTGCAGCTGGTTTTTCTATTTTTAGTGGAAACAGGGTCTCACTTTTGCTCAGGCTGATCTCAAACCCCTGAGCTCAAGCAATTCACCCCCCTCAACCTCCAAGAGTGCTGGGAATACAGGCATGAGCCACCAAACCTGGCCACACCATTTGTTCTTAATATGGGTATTCTAAGGTCTGTGTCCCTTTAAAAAGGCAGGCTGCATTATCTGCAATAAGGGCAGGAAACACATAACATCTGCAAATCCTCTATTAAAGGCCCCACTTTATAGGAAGTATACGCCTCTCTTTTTTGTTTCTATAAAAAGAAGCAGCAGGAGGAAAATGGGGGGAGAAGAAATAAGAAGGAAGGAGGGAGAAGGAGAAAAAGAAGAAAAAAGGGAAAAAGAGAAAACCAAGAAAAGTCCTGGTACTTTAAATGAGGTTAGAGAGTTGGACTGATACTATCCTGGGCCTACAAGTACAGTGCTGAGAAAAAGTGATCAAAGAGTTCAGAAGCCCCAGTCCCCAGAGGCCCAGCTGTAAATCACTAGCAACTCTCTGCCCCTGAACCCTGTCAGGGCATGAGCTGTGGGGTCAGGACTCTGGATAGTTGAAGATTCTCACCCCTCAGAGCAGGGCAGGAGCAGAAACATATGGGAAATATCCAGACTTCACTAAGTCCTACATTTGGTAGGGAATGAATGAAGAACGTGTGGCATCTTTAGATCAGATTGTCACTTAATGTTCCATGATTTCTTTCTGTCTCAATCACAAAAGGAACCCCAAATAACCTTCTTAGAGAAAGAACAGGGTTCCTGGGTTGGCAGATCCTAGGTACCTTACAGAGAGGTGACATGCAGATGCCTTAGTGTAGCAGAGAAAGGAGGCCAATATCCCTCGGCCCTGAGCAAAAGGGGGCGTTTGAGTACTTACTGCATTGTACTCAGAGATCTGAGGAATACAAACAAAAAAATATTGCTAACAGCTGCTGTTCTCCCCAAAGGGGATATGCAGCATACACACACGAAATGTTCATCACGTGAAGCAGTAATATTAGAGGCACTACAGACCGCATTCAGACCAGCTAGGAAATGTCCAAGAGAGTCTCATCACCACAACTCTGCAGGTTATGTACTATCACTTTTTTTTTTTTTTTTTTTTGAGACAGAGTATCACTATGTTGCCCTCAGTAGAGTGCAACACAGCAACCTCAAACTCTTGGGCTTAAGCAATTCTCTTGCTTCAGCCTTCCAAGTAGCTGCGATTACAGGCACCTGCCACAATGCCCAGCTTTTTTGGGTTGTTGTAGTTTTCATTGTGGTTTAGCAGGCCTGGGCTGGGTTTAAACCCTCCAGCCCCGTGTATGTGGCCAGTGCCCTAACCACTGAGATACCAACACCAAGTCATACTCTCCCTCTTATTTACATAAAGGCCCAGAGAGGTTGCAGAAATGATTCACACAGCAATAAGTGGTAGCATCAGGAGCTTGGGATTTACTACACATAGAATATTCACATACAAAATGTTTCCTAACTCTAGGGTCCTAGAAGATCCAGGCTGGAAGGCCCTTAGGGATAGTTCACACAACAGCCTCATTTAGAGGGGCAAGCTGTATGTAGCCCAGAGAGGTTATATCATGTTCAAAGTCACAGAGTTGGCTAAGAGAAGACACAAGAACTAACCCAGGTTGTCTCACTTCCAAGCCAAAGCCCTCCCTCACTCAGCACCGGCTACCCTTAGACTAATGCTGCTTAACCTTTTCCTCTTAAAATCACCAGCTTGTGAAATTCATTTGCTGGTCCCACTGAGAACTGTAAGACTGAAATCAGATGTCTCAAAAGCTCTGAAACTCTACTCTCTGGGGTGGGGTGTGTAGCCTGAGCATGTATACTATTGGATTTAGTTGAATATAAAACCTGCTAAAGTTCTGAAATGTTCTTGTATTACCGACCATGTAGATGACCTCAGTATGATAAAGCCCTCTCTCCCCTTTCCAGGGTTCATGCCTGCAGGTTTTTACCATCCCTTTGGAATCAACTACTTCTCACTGTTGGGGACCAACAAGAAAAGAGCAGACGCTAGCTTACGGATTCACTTGTCCAGGGTGCAGATGAGTAAGGCATTCCCTTAATATATCACAAATGCTCGGCATATATCTCAAGACATATTTAACAAGTGAGTGTTTGAACAGTGGTGGGAAAAGTGGGTCTCCACAGAGCACACAGTTACAGACGCATCTCCAAACTCAAAAGAACCTACTATTACATGCGTTGAGCAAGATACAACGGCGTTTCAACAAAAAACGTAATAGCCACGTCAAATTATGTTAATTCTTTTCTTGATTTTTTAGCTTTATTTATTGAATGTTTGGGTTTTACGGTGGTATGGTTGCATAAACACTACAAGTATAAAGAACTTCTACTCATTTTTGAGTGTATACGGTATTTAAGAGCACACACACACAAAAAACATCTGTCATCAATGGGGACCAGAGATAAGTTTTTTCCCTTTAAGAAGAAAGGGTACAACATTCAAATTCGAGAACACTGTCACATCCTGCTAGCAAACAGAATGACACTTTTGTACAGCACGCTCGCCCCCCCCCAACCCCCGCCCTCCAACCCCAATCAAGTGCTGGAAGCTAGCGCCCCTTGAGGCTTACCTGCAGGGCAATTTCCTTCTTCTTGCTGCCCATGGCTCTGCAAGGAAGACGAAGCCCAGTTACCGCGGGCTTGGGCAGTTCCCCAGCAGCCTTGCGACAAACTGCCGCGCGGATCAGCAAGCCCAGAGCCTCCTCCAAACAGAGTTCTCCCACCCCGTCCCTTTTGAAAGTGCCTCTAAGTGGCAGCAAGTCAACACACTGATACAAAATGAACACCCCCCGGGGGGAGCGAAGCCTTTCCGGGGAGCTGCGAAGCCCCTTCCCCACCCCGGAGCCGGCCAGGGGGCGCGCTCACAGGCCCGAGTCAGCTAGCGGCGCAGCGCAGCCTGCCAGGCGTCCGGGCGAAAAAAGGACAAGGGACTGTTATCCCTACTGCACCCACGTATTACTGGGAAACTGAGCCACCAGGACGATCTCCCGACAGGTACACGGCCTTCGACGCACCGGAGTCGCCAACCGAGTCTGTGATGACCCAGCCACGGTCGTCATGGCAACCCAGCACCCCGCCAGGCCTGCCTGGAGAGCTTGCGGACACGTAAGCCACGCCCACTCCAGGCCCGACGCAGTCTCTCCGCGGGGACTCAGAACCCCGAGACTGGCAGGAGGGAGTCCCGCCCCTTGCCGGCCGGATCGGTGTGTGGAAACGTGCTCATTGGTTGGAGAGTTTGTCATTGTCTGGAGGCTTTGAACCCACCTGGCAAATACCCGACCCATCTGTGCGTGGTACGGTTACATCCTTGCATCTCAGCATCCCTCCTACCGCGTCTGCCATGGCTGATGTGCAGGTTTTTCACCCTCACATCCCCGCATAATGAGTGCCAGGTGGAGTGCCTCCAGGTTTTGAAGCGTCTGTAAGGGTTCTCTTTAAAAAAAAAAAAAAAAAGGATACAGGCTGGGCTTGGTGGCTCACGCCCATAATCCAAGCGTTCTGGGAGGCCGAGGCGGGAGGATTGCTTGAGGTCAGGAATTGGAGACCAGCCCAAGCATGGGCGAGATCTCGTCTCTACAAAAAATAGAAAAGTTAGCCAGCGGCTGTGGCGCGCTGCTAGTCCCAGCTACTTGAGAGGTTGAGGTGGGAGGACTGCTTGAGTCCAGGAGTGTGAGGTTATAGTAAGCTATGAGGACTCCACTGTACTCAACCCCAGGCAGCAAAGCAAAAACACCCCCCAAAAACAAAAAAAGGTATGAAAGTCAAGACATACAAAACACAAAACATGGCCAGGGCGGTGGCTCATGCCTCTAATCCTCGCATCTGGAAGGCTGAGGCACGTGGATCGCTTGAGCTTACACTTTCAAGACCAGCCTGACTAAAAGCGAGACCCCATCTCTACTAAAAATGAAAAACTGAGGCAGAAGGATCACTTGAGCCCAAGAGATTGAGGTTGCTGTGAGCTATGATACCACAGCACTCTACCAAGGGTGACAAAGTGAGACTCTAACTAAAAAAAAAAAAAGCAAAACATGATATCAACAATCACTTTAATCTGACCAATTGCAAGAAAGAAATTGTCAGAGTGGGTTTTTTAAAAACTAGGCCCAATGGTGTGTTGTCTAAAAGAAACAGATTAAGTTAAAAGTAAAGGAATAGAGAAAGGTATGCCATCCTGACACTAATCAGAAGAAAGCTGAAGTACCTTTGTTAACTTAAGGAAAAGCAGACTTCAGAACAAGGAAATCTATCAGGGATAAACAGGGCATTACATAAAGTTAAAGGGGTCAATTCTCTGGGAAGATAAAACAATACTTCACATTTATGCACTTAACAACAGAGAACTCTGATAAATGAGGCAAAAATCATGCAACTGCAAAGAAAAATAGGTAAATCTAGTATTATCATTGAAGATTTTAACACCATTTAAAAAGTGATCATTAGATTAAGCAGGCAGGAATGAACAAGGGTGTAGTTGAACTGAAAGCATCAAAACTTAATTGACACTTTTCAATATTTCATTCAACAAAAGCAAAATGTAGATTCTTCTCAAGCTCGCATGGAACATTCACCAAGTTAAACCATATTCAGGCTGTAAAACATACCTTAACAAATTTAAAATAATAGAAATCATACAAAATATGTTCTCAGACCACAATGGAATTGAGCTAGAAATCAGTAACAGCTGATGAAAGGAATCTAGAAGATTTAAATAAATGGAGAAATATTCCATGTTCATGGATAGAAACAATCAATATTGTTAGGATATCAATTCTTCCCCATATGATCTATAGATTAGACACAGTGCAACTCAAAATCTCAGAAAGCAAGCTATTTTGTGGACATCAATAAACTGATTCTGTTTATTGAAATGAACAGAAGGGACCCAGAATAAAAACGGGACCCAGAATACCTAGCAGAAAGAAGAAAGAACAAAGTCAAGGAACTGACACCACCTAAATTCAATACTTACTATAAAGCTACAACGATCAAAACAGCAGGAGGTTAGTGAAAGAACAGATAATGGTGCTGGAATAAGTGGATGTCCATTTGCAAAAAAAGAATAGACACGGAACTTACAACTGTTGTAAAAATTAACTCAGAATAGGTCATAGTCCTAAATGTAAAATGCAAAACTATAAAGCTTTCAGAAGAAAACACAGGAGAAAGGTCAAGGTGATCTTGGGTTTGGTAATAACTTTTTAGGTAAAACACCAAAAATATGATCCATGAAAAAAATCAATCAGCTGGAATCTGTTAAAATTTAAAAACAATTGTGCAAAATACTATTAAGAGAATGAAAAGACAAGCCATAGACCGGGATAAAACGTTTGCAAAACATAAATCTGACAAAGGACTTGGATCCAAAACATACAAAATCCAACAATAAGAAAACATATATCCCAATATAAAACTGGGAAAAAGATCTGAACAGACTCCTCACCAGAGAAGATACACAGATGGAAAGTAAGCATCTGGACAAGGTGCTCAACCTCATTTGTCAATCGGGAATTACCAATTAAAACAATGACAATTAATGACATGGTGGGGCATGGGGGAAGGGGAGATCAGACAGAGAAGGGGGGGTGCAGAGGGGGTGTGGGCAAAAAAAAAATAATGACTAATTCTCACACAAACTGGATTTAATTTTGATCAACGTATATTACTTAAACATCAATTTTTAATTCAACATGTCAGTATGTTGTTTATCATATCGCATCCTTATTCATCAGTGAAATATGTCTGTAATTTCCCCTTTATAATAATATAATTTTTCTAATATTACTATCAGG